TTTCAGCAACGTTGCGAAATATAGATTCAATGTTGAAAAAATATTGAAGAAATATCTAATGTCCGCTGAATTGCAATGTCTACAAGACAAGAAACATTAATTCAATATTGATTCAACATTTATTCAATGCAGAATTTATATATATTATAATAATGTTTTGAAAAATTGAACGAAATAAATGTTTAAAATTAATTTTATTAAATATATATATATAATTATATTATTATTTCTTATTAATAATTATTGTAATAATTATTATATTATTTCAAAAGATAATAATTGTTTAATGTTGTTTCTACGTTATAGCAACATTTAACAATCAATATAGAAAACTCAACATAGATTCAATGTTGAAAAAAACCTTTACACTTCAACATTCAACATTGCAACGTCTCAGCAACGTTATTTCAACTTTTTGTGCTGTATGGGTTATGTTTGTTACAGAGGAGTTTGTTATATTTGCTGACAGCTATAGTCGAACAATAAGCAGTGAGTATAGCTATAGTTGTACAAGAAACAGTAAATATAATTACATTTTCTCATAATGGACAAAAAACGGAAAAGATTTTTGTCTCTTTCAAAACGGTATGTTCGTCGAATTATTAAAAAAAAATACGTCTGTAGATTTAGATACGATTTTTGCACCAGGATGTTCTCATCAATCATTTTCCGATAGTAATAATAGTGCTGAAATAATAGCTCAAAATCAAAATGATAGCGACGATGGAAATTTAAACAATGATGTTGCGCCTAATTATGTTGCTGTGCCTAATGTTATTAATTATATAGATTCATTTGACGATGATTTAGAACCAACGTGCGAAGTTGAGGATATACAGTCAAATAGTGAGGTTGAAGTGTTTGAATCAGAAAGTGAATCTGAAAATGATGAGAGACAATCAAATTTTAGAAAATTATGAAAAATTTAGAAAATAATTATGTTGTTGGTATGTAAATTCTGGTATATCGCATAAATCTCTCGCCAAATTGTTGATTATTTTACGGAAACGTACAAATTTTCCATTCCTGAAAGATCCTCGAACTTTGTTGAACACTTCCAGAAACGTCGAATGCATTCCTACAGAAATGCAATACTATCATTTTGGTTTAAAGAGAACTCTTAAGATGATGTTAAATAAACATGTACAACTTGTTGGTCCTACTAATATTCTTCGGATTTTTATAAATATTGATGGCCTACCAATTGTGAAGTCTAGTAATGCTTCTTTGTGGCCTATATTATGTTCTGATTCTATCACAAAATCTGTTTATATTGTTGGAGCATATTATGGCGAAGTAAAACCTGAAAATAATAATATCTTCTTGCAAAAGTTCGTTGATGAAGCAATTTTTTTAATAAATAATCCATTAAATAATGACGGACAAAGGGTTGAAATTAAGTTGCACGGTTTAATATGTGATGCCCCAGCCAAAGCATTTGCTTTAAATGTTAAAAACCATAACGGTTATAATAGTTGTACAAAGTGCACTATTGAAGGACAGTATATCAATGGCCGAGTATGTTTTCCAACAATAAATACACATTTTGCTTTAAGATCTGATGAAGATTTTATAAATAATAAGTATGAAGATTATCAGATAGAAACAATTTTAAGCAATATTCCTAATTTTAAACCTGTCACAGATGTACCGCTAGATTATATGCATCTAGTGTGTTTAGGAGTTGTTAAAAAACTAATTTTACTTTGGAATCTCGGACCGGCTTCAGTAGAACTTTCTAATAATATGAAGAAAATTATATCAGATGCGTTAGTCAACTTACGAAATACAGTACCTTCTGAATATTGTCGAAGACCAAGATCCTTAAAAAGATTTTAAACTCTGGAAAGCAACTGAATTTCGCCAGTTTCTCCTATATACCGGCCCAATTGTACTAAAAATGTTTTAAGAAAAGATGTTTATTTGAACTTTTTAAGCTTACACGTTGCGATGACAATACTTGCAAGTCCCGTTTTCACAAAATCTGTGGATAATATAGAATATGCACAAAATTTACTCGAGTATTTTGTCAATACTTTTATTCAAATTTATGGACAACAGTATGTTTCTCATAATATTCATAATTTGTTACACATTTGTGCAGATGTTAGAAAATATGGACCTATAGATCAATTCAGTGCATTTCCATTTGAAAATTACATGACACATTAAAAAACTAATTCGCAAACCTGATAAACCTCTGCAGCAACTAGTAAAACAATATGCCGAAATAGAAGCGCTTGATTTGGAGAATTCAAATCGGGATAATTTTCACGATCAAATGCGTTTAATGAAATCTCATCAAATGGGACCTCTAATTGATAGATATAATTTTGTTTCTCAATTCAAAAAGCTTCGTGGTAATTCATATTTGTTAAACTGTGATAATGAAAGAAATAATTGTATACTGTTTGAAAATGGAAATGTAGTTTCAGTTTTAAATTTAGTAAAATCAGAAGATAACAAAACATTCATTATAGGGAAGAAACTAAAATATGTAAAAAATCTATACTCGTTACCCTGTGAATCAAAAATATTAAATATTCAAGTTGTTGCAGAAGATAATCGGATACGTGCATGGCCATGCGAAAAAATTCAAGCAAAGATGTGGAAAATGCCTTACAACGATAATTTAAACGTTGTTTTTCCAATTATACACATATAAAATATCTGTTTATTATTATTATTTTACAAAATTTAATCTTTAAGTTAACTATTAAAACAAATTAATTACGTTGTAATATATTGTAAAATTATATACTTATAGCTTCAATCATTAAATTGTTTCTCCTATCTTGGTAATTTACGTTAAGAATATATAATGTGTCCCTTAATAATTAACAAATATAACAACTATAATTAGCAAATATAATAACTATCATATACATATTTAATGTAGTATAATGTAGTACAGCGCTCGGAATTAGTTGCACATTTCGGGCCAATTCAAGAGACAACGCTTCCTGTTCCCCCACTACCGCCCGGCCGCTGGCGGTCGAGCCGCCGATAACTCTGACGCAGGAGCGTTTTATATAAGAAATAGGCTCGGTTGTTGAGGCATCTCTCAAAAAATAATAATATTTTCTTTGCTACATAAATAATGTTTATTTTCATTAATAATTAAATATATATATTATGTATTAATGAAAATAAACATTATTTATGTAGTGAAGAAAATGTTACGATTTCCTGAGAGATGCCTAAACAATCTAGTCTATTTCTAATATAAAACGCTCCTGAACCAGAGCTATCGGCGGCTCGGCCGCCAGCGGCCGGGCGGTAGTGAGGGGACAGGAGGCGTCGTCTCCAGAATCGGCCCGAAATGTGCAACTAATTCCGAGCGCTGATGTAGTATAATATAGTATAATAATAATATCAACATTAATTATATATTAATCTGTTTATCTTTTTTTAGATTTACATCGATTGATACTATATACAAATAATCCTTGCATTTACTTATTTAAGAATAACATACTATATATAATACAATTCTAATTCACATTCATAATGAAAAATCAACAATTATTAAGTTTCCTTCTGTACTCAATAATTCTCAATACTATTATTTTATTAGATATTTTGAATCAATTTTACTTTTCTGAGTTGCATATATAAGAATAAATTATTGCAATAAAGTCAATCAAGATTATAACAACTACTACTACTACATAATCATGTACCAATCTGATTTTGATGAAGAATTGTTTACCCCTTATTGTACGTTCATTATTTTTAATGGAGATTTGTAGGAAGTTTATAGGGATGTCGCGATTTACAATCGCTCTTTTTGAGGATGGGCTCTTTCTGGTCCCATCATCGTGGCTAACGCAAAATAACAACATGTGTTATTGGCCGCCATACACGATAAGAAAAGAAACGATAAGAAAATTCGAAAAGCAGTTATTGACGAAATCAGTTCTGATTGTAGCTGGACTAAACTCAAAATTCACCGCATTTTTGGAACATCAAGTGAGTTAATTATTCAATAACAATTTTAATTTATGTGTTTTAATATAGAGATTTTAAATATTACTGTGTTTGCCATCCATTTTTAGATACATACGAGTTAGGAATCGAAAAAGTCAAGATTGCTCAAGAATTTTCTGACTTGGATCATTCATAGGCAGATGACATTTCGCGTAAAAAAAGGCAAGTTTGCCACAAGCCTCTTATTAGAAAGGATTGTTCATCGTCCGATGAAAGTGATAATAACCTCTGTACTGATGAAAATCAAGAAGCTATTGTGGATAAAGAACTTCGTGCAATACCGCCAGTGCCTCCACCATCGTTGATTGCTAATAAAACAATAAAGCAACATGTATCAAAATAAAAGAAATTGAAAACGAGAAATTATTCTCTTAGTAATAACAATATCACCTCACTTTAGACAAAGATAAAAGTTAGTTTGATATATTTACGATTTATACATTACATTTACACGAAATAAATAGTAATTTTGTATTTTATTATATGTATCCGAATATGTGTGCATTATCTATTTGTTTATAGATACACTGCCAGAAATATTGCGAAAATTGAATCAAATATTCGCCAAATTAAGCTCCATTGATAATAGACTTTCCAAACTCGAAGAAAAAGGCTGCACGCATGAAAATAAAGAAATACTATCGGTGCTCCAAGAATTCGTATCTTTGCCTTTAAAATCCAATGAGGAGCTACAAAATATGGAGAAAGATTTAGAGGATAAAGAATTTTTGGAACAAATGGTAAGCATTTATTTATTTCATTTAAAATATATCTCAAATATATAAATTATACTATAGTTTGAAGTACAAATATCTGCTCTTACGAAATTCATATAAACTCCCAAATATATAAAATATATAAAAATATAAAATTATATTTTTTATAGGCAATTTCCATGAATAGAATCGGTGGACGAAACAGCCACGATTTAACCATTAACATTTTAAAAAGAGTGATTAGCAATGAAGTAGCTCCACAATATAGTTGGGCGGGAAAGTTAAAAAAAATGGGATTCAAAGATTTATTACTGGCAAAGTGTATTATACGTAAGTTTGGAGATATTATACAGCTAAATATATATAAGGTTCAGTATTCGATTTAAAATTCAAAAATATTAATATTAAAATGGATATATTTTAGGAGCTGTGAATATGGCGGATAATAAAGTGACGGAAAAAGAAACCGTTAATTGTATTTCAAAGTGGCTCGTGCAAGCTACTTTAAGGCATGAGCGAAGCCTTGATAAACAAAAAATGTAAGTCTTAACAAATTCAATAAATAAAGATCTCTTCAATAAATTTGTTACTTTTATTACATTGCATGCCTATTTTCATTTTCAGTAAAAATCAGAAGACTTCTGCAAATGACCAACAAGAATAAATATATAATCTGAAGAAAAAAACGTAAAATAAATAAGTTACGTACAATAAATAATATATAAAACAGTTCAATTTTAGTTCGTAATTTTAAATGTTTATTACTTTTATTAAATATATGTTGTAAAATCCATAATGGAAGGTATTATAATTATATCAAATTTATTTACCTGAATTTAATAATACACACAGAAATATACACATATACATGTCTGCAATGTCGCAAATAAAACCAAAATAAAAGCCAAATAAAAGCGGACATTTTGACATTAGCAATCTATCCGAGACGTTTCAGAAACATTTCTGTAATATTTCAAAAATATTCCAGAAAGGTTTATTGCAACGTTTCTGCAATGTTGCAAATGTGACCAAAGCGGACATTTTGACGTTGCTGCAACCTTTCAGAGACATCCCAAAGACCTTACCCCATACAGCACACAAACGTTGAATCAATATCTAAAAAACGTAGAATTGTAACATTATGAATGTTTCAGCAACGTTGCGAAATATAGATTCAATGTTGAAAAAATATTGAAGAAATGTCTAATGTCCGCTGAATTGCAATGTCTGCAAGACAAGAAACATTAATTCAATATTGATTCAACATTTATTCAATGCAGAATTTATATATATTATGCATTATAATAATGTTTTGAAAAATTGAACGAAATAAATGTTTAAAATTAATTTTTATTTAAATATATATATATATAATTATATTATTATTTCTTATTAATAATTATTGTAATAATTATTATATTATTTCAAAAGATAATAATTGTTAAATGTTGTTTCTACGTTATAGCAACATTTAACAATCAATATAGCAAAATCAACATAGATTCAATGTTGAAAAAACCTTTACACTTCAACATTCAACATTGCAACGTCTCAGCGACGTTATTTCAACTTTCTGTGCTGTGTGGGTACGTAACATAACTGAGATAGTTTCACGGTTTCTAAGTTATCTTTTTGCAACATTGCAGGGACTTTTCTGTGCTATCAGGGTATTTATTCAGACAATGGATCCAATTTTATAGGAGCTAATAATCAGTTAAAGGAAATATATGTTTTGCTTAATTCTGAGGATCACCATAAACGGATAAACAAATATTCAAGCAAACATAGAATTACGTGGCACTTTATACCACCCTTTGCACCCCATTTCAGCGGGCTATGGGAGTCTTCAAAGTTATAGTCAGTAAAGTTATTCAAACACCATTTTAAACGAGTTATAGGAGATTCTTTATTTACGTTTGAAGAATTGAACACATTTACTATCGAAGTCGAGGGTAAATTCTAGGCCAATTACTGCCATTTCATCTGACCCTAACGATATGTTAGTGTTATCTCCTGCACATTTTTTGATCGGCAAGTCAATAACAACACTATCAGAGGTAGATTTGTCATCTGTTCTAGACAACCGGCTGTCTAATTGGCAGCATATATCAAAGGTACGACAAGACTTCTGAAAACGCTGGAATCTTGAGTATCTGAACGAGCTCCAAACACGAAATAAATGGACTAAAGACGGACCGAAATTAACCAATGGTACCGTCGTGCTCGTAAAGGAGAAAAATTTACCATGCACGCAGTGGACGCTGGGCAGAATTCAGAAAGTACTTCCAGGTAAAGACGAAAAAATCCGAACTGCCACCGTCAAGACTGCGTCCGGCGAAATAAAAAGAGCTGCGAAGTCTCTATGTCCATTGCCAGTAAAGCAATGATTATGCGATACATATTACAATAGTACAGTTGTACACTTTATTATAAGATGCGTTGTACATTGTAACACGATTCGTATTTATGCCTTAGTAACTCTACGAACAATAGTTGTTCGGTACCCTCCCAATGGGGGGAGTATGTTATGTAGAGTTACAAGCACAGACTTCTATATATTACTAGACTGCTAACTCCTTATGTATAAGGCGTCTTCATTTCTTATGTACGAAACGATACATAAAGTATTCCTTTCTGCGCATGCGCTTTGTGATGTATGTCCCTACATGCTACACATTCACATATAAACACACATACATAATACAATTAACTAATATCTCGTCCAAAAAACAGAAATCTATTAAAAAAATAATAATATTATTAAATAATATTATTAAACTAAGTTAAAATTTAAATGAATCAAGCTTTATAAAATGTGTAGTATGCAAAACATTTTATATAAAAATACTAATGTATAACACTAAAATTGTATATAAGAAATATTATTTTTAATGTTTAATGTTTTTGTATATAAAATATATTATTTTTAATATTTTTATTAAATGATATTATAAAATGATTGATATATGTATATAAAATATTTTAAGGATAAATAAAAAATACACACATTTTACATTTATATTTTATTTTTATATTATTTTAATTAATTACATATAAAAATATAAAATTATTACAAAATAAAAAATAAAAACAAAAATACAGAAACAAATATACAAAATAAAAAACAAAAAGTTCTATTGATCTGGGATTATATTATTTTAATATTAACTGTTTTATTAATTATTCTCTTAAAAATAAGATTTGTTTAGTCAGCTGATGGCGTTTTCGAATTGTTTTTAAAATTTCTTCTTGATAAAATTTTGAATATGAATGCAGCCGTATTGTGATATATTTATTACACACTGCTATTATTAATTGAATTTTATGAGGCATTTCCAGTAAATTTATGTCTTCGCATTGTAAGTTAGGAAATATTTTGTTATTAAAAACAAGTACATTTTTTACTTTATTTATCACTTTTTTATCTATTTCTTTTATATTTATTTCACAGAAATGATCTGTTATAATATGTAATTGTTTTTCAGTTTCCTTGCATATAGAAAAAACTGATGCAGAAGGTTTTACTAATCCACCATTATTGCAGAAATTTAAAAATGTGGAAAATGTTTCTTCGTGAGCATAATTATGCTCAGATTCTATAGTTTCTTAATTTAAAATACAAGATTTGCAGTTAAGATACTTTAATTTTTTAACAATGTAACCGCTAATATAATAAATTATATAATCAGTAACAGTATCGTGCTTTTTCAATGATATTTTATGAAAATCATTATTATATTCGTCATCGTTTTCAGATTCTAAATCATTAAACATATTATCCTGTTTCTTTTTCTTCCACATTAAAGGAAATATAGATGTGGCATATTCTGCATCAAATTCAAAACAATTCGAATTTATTGAAGCTTTTATGTCAGTATGTAATAAAATTTGTTTCATTGCATACGTAAATTGTTGGCAAGTAGGATTGTTATTAAAACCGTGTCGCCCACGAATCTTAGAAAATAATATTTCTAAATGATCTTGTGAAAATTTATAACTTAAAATATATTTAAAAGATTCATTATTTTTAAAAATTTCTGTTGAAATATCCAAAATTGACTGAGCAGCAATTGACAAACCATATATAAATGTTTTTCTTGCAGTGCGATGTAGTAATCGACCATCAGATGTTTTTAAAGAAAATAAATACTTTGTTGTATCATTAACAATATGTCTTAAATATTCAATATTTTTCGAAAAAATGGGTGTCTTGAAACCTTTTCCGAAAGGATTTCTAGAATTTAATATATCGAATAAGCGATCTATTGTTCTCAAAAATTTGACTGTTGCAGAACTATCTCGAAAATCTTGAAAGCCTTCAGCTTCTAAAAATTCTATAGCATTAGCAACTGATGAACTCAGAACATGTACAGCATACTTCACTTTCATTTTATCTTGTTTCCAATTTATACATTGTGAAGATAAACGATTTTTTAATTTCAAAGTTAATTGCTTTTGTAAAGCATGTAACTTCACAATATAATCCCATTTAATAGAACCTTCATGAGTTTTAAATTCTTTGTAATCTGCTAACGCATTTCTAGCTAATTTAACCATATGGCATGGATCCAATATGATTTTTACATTTTTATTTTCATTAGAAGGGCATGGAAATGAATTTTTAATTTGTCTATAATCTTCAGCAAATATTTCTCTCCAAGCTTATTTATTGCACTACAATTGCATGTATCACCATCGAATGTTAAACTGTGTACACGTAAATTATATTTGCAACAGAGAATTAACGCATTTTTTATTAATTGACACAGCATTGTCGAAGATGTTTTATTTACCAAAAAATATGCAATTGGCCATTTCCATGCTCCTTTTAACGATACTAATAAGAATACTAAAGCTTCCCTTGCTTCTACATCATCATTTTCTATAGATACAGCATTACCGTAATCACAAAATCCTATGTACTTGTGTTTCTCTCCACTCCATGTGATTTGTTGCTTAATTGCCATTGCATCTAATATAAGGCAACAATCCTTTTCTTTTTCATCTAATTCGTTGAGAGTTTGTAATATTTTCAATTGAAATCCAGGTCCTATATTTATATTGGACATCCAATTTCGCATAGATGATGGATGTGGCAATTTGAAAATTGTTCTAAAAAATCAGTTTTATGAGAAATACTATTTTCATAACAATAATATTAAATATATTTTTTATATTTGCACATTTGATGATAAGTATAATAATAGATAAAGTCGTAAATAATGTATAACAAAAATAGCATTGCACATTGCAAGTAATGTAAGAAAAAAACAGATTTTGCAGACAGACAAATTTAGTAATAGGGCACAGAGATATAATTAATAAGTGACAAATTGTTGCTGAAGTATTAATAAATTACTAATAAATATTTTAAAAGGAAAAGGATATATTATAGTTTATATAAACATCCCAGCAAACGAGAATAGATTAAAAGTAAAAATTTTCAATCTTTCTGAATTCCTTTTCTTGGTTAAAAATTTTTACTTTTAATCCATTCTCGTTTGCTGGGATATAAGCAGTTATAATTGAACAGCTTTATAAGCACATGTTCTATTAATAGTCATGCAATACATTATATTTATTCAATTATAAGTCCAACATATCCTAGGTAGGACATAATCATTTCATATACATTCCCTAAACATTGGTATATAAAATGAACATGTGTTACCTATGATTT